AAGTCTTTCAAATCCCTTCCATATCCGCCATCTTGCTCTCATCTTTTGCAGTGTTCTCCGACGTTGAACAATTTTTCAAGGAGATTAATCATGAATGTGTTATGTCGAGTCCTCTGCCTGATTGACGGCTGACAATCAACTCCTGAAATCTTTATCGTCAGTTTCAGAACAAAAAAAAGAGTTCAGTCGCCAAGGCAGAATGACCTGCCCCCGATTCGAACGGGGTCTCTGCTGGATTAATTTCGCCGCTACTGGTATGTAAATGTCCGCAGATGCGTCCATCGCCACAGGTCTTTCAAATCCATTCCGTGCCCCTAATCTTGTCCTCGTGTCTCACAGTGCTCCCCGACATTGAACAATCTTTCGAAGAGATCGAACACGTTATCTTGAGTCCTCCGCCTGATCCCCAGCCAGATTTTGTTACTCCCGAGCAGGCTAGGACTGGTGAAGCATCCAACTCCTGAATTCTTTATCGTCAGTTTCAGGGGGAAAAGAGTTCAACCGTGAAGGTAATCTGACCTACCCCCAATTCGAACGGGGTCTCTACTAAATTGCTTACTCTGCCACAAAACAGTAAGCAGATGCGTCCATCGCGATTCGCCACAGGACTTTCGAATCTTTTCTGTCTCCCAAATCTTGCTCTCATCTTTTCCGATGTTCGCTGACGTTGAACCAATTTTCCAAAGACATTGAACATGGTATGTTGAGTCCTCCGCCGCATCCACAGCTAGGTTTTGTAACTCACAAGCTGGCTAGACCAAGTACTACTGGTGACTCATCCAACTCCTGAATTCTTTATTGTCAGTTTCAACTTTCAGGACGAAAAAGAGTTAAACGCCACCGCCATTCTATGACCTGCCCCCCGATTCGAACAGGGTCGCCAGACGAAGGCAGGATACTAAGCCTTGACTTGACTTGAATTCATTTTGTAATCGTACCTGGCTACATATAGCTACGCGATTGTACTTCTACAGAGTAGACCTGGGGTGGGAGAGTTAACTATGTAGGTGATTTTATGGTAACGGTTTTATCTGTAAACTAGAGAGAGTAAAATTAAAAGTAGAAAACAATGTATGGGAAATTGGTTGGTGGGAGCTAACTGTAAGGTATGGGAGGGACTCGGACAATTGGGTAGGAGTAGCCGAGATGGTGCGATTCGAACGGGGTCTCTGCTGAATTAATTCGCCGCTACTGGTATGTAAATGTCCGCAGATGCGTCCATCGCCAAAGATCTTTCAGATCTGTTCTGTGTGTCCCTGATCTTGCTCTCGATTTTCAAGGTGTTCTTCGACGTTGTACGGATTTTTCAAGGAGATTGAAAGCTTTACGTTGCGTCTGCCTGATCCACGACTAACCTCTTTACTCCCGAGCAGGCCAGAACAATCAATACTGGCGAAGCATCCAACTAGTACTCATGATGTTTTTATCGTCAGTTTCCCCACGAAGAAAGTATCCTCACCATTCTAACTTATGACCTGCCCCCGATTCGAACGAGGTCTCTGCTGTATTGATTTCTCTGAACAAAGGCAATTTTTTCTCTTTCTTCAAAAGTGCTCTCTGACATTGGACTCAAACAGTGTTTTCGGGCGCATTCGAGATTGAACGGTTTGTGGGGTCCTCCTCTGTCTGATTAAGATTATCATCGACGCTCAAGCTAGAACACTTTATCAATGCATCATCCGACTGCTGTCAAGAAAAGGGGGGAAAAAGCTCAGAAGGAAGGAAGTTATGGCCTGCCCCCGATTCGAACGGAGTCTCTGCTGAATTTATTTCTCCGCTACGCACATTTTACATGTCCGCAGATGTGTCTATCACCACAGATCTTTCGAATCCATGCTGTGGCCCGAATGTTCCTCCCATCTATCTCAGCGTTTTCTGACACTGAACATCTTTTTACAAGTATATTGAACGTGTTCTGTGGAGTCCTCTGCCTGATCTACAGCTAGATTTTGTCACTCAGTCTCCCGAGCAAGCTAGAGCAAATACTGAGGAATGCTCAACCCCTGAACTCTTTATCATCAGTTGCCCGAATTCCTTATCGTCAATCCCAGGACGAAAAAGAGTTACCTCGCGAACGCAAATCCATGACATACCCCCGAGTCGAATGGAGTCTCTGCTGAATTGGGCTGATAATCAACTCCTGAAATCTTTATCGTCAGCTTCAGTACGAAGAAGAAAATTCAATTCCATTCTATGACCTGCCCCCGATTCGAACGGGAGCTCTGCTGTTCACCGCTGTGCACATCTAAATGTTCGCAGATGCGTCCACCACAAGGTCTCATATCTCTCAGTGTGAGCCTAATCCCATCTCCAACACAGAACAGCCTGAAATTCGTGATCCATCGTATCGGAAGCGCCGTGGTTCAATTTGTTCCGTTCCTACGGATCTATAAATTCTAATGGCGTAGGGGGTGAAGTCAACGTCAACCTGTTCTACCTTCTCGAGATCTCCTTTCTCCTTCCCTTCTGTCTGCGCAAGGACCAGAGTGTGATTGTGTGGCGAGGAAGGCGACGGAGAGGTCCCCCAGGTCTTTGGGTTGAGTCTTGTAGATATATCGCAGTGTTTGCATCGTGTCGAGGTCTGTCGACTCAGTGTCGAGGTCTTTGTATTGCCTCGGACTTGTGCTTTCAACAAATCCCACAGACCTGGCCGAAAACCAGATAACGTTTGGAAGGTCAATTTCGAGGCTTTCTCCGCTTCCTTCGGGCTACTTTCGATGTTCAACTTCTCGCGATTTTCAACAAACGACGCGTGACTTCCCAAAGCGGATGCTGACATCAAACTACCGGAGGCAAACATGACACGACCACGCGCTTTTTCCTTCCTCCCATCATGCCCAAAGCCAAGGCGCCCACCCCGTCGAAATCCAGCCAAACTTTATTCTTCGTCCTCACAGATGGAAAGAAACGAGTCCTGGTGCCGCGGCCCAAGAGTTATCAGGTATCAGCACAAATCCGAGTGTACCTCGTCGTGACGCGCTATTGACCATTTTACGCGTTTAGGCCGCAATTGCGACTGCTCTGCGTCATTTCCCGCATTTTAAAGCTCCTTTGACTCTGCAGACCGACGAGCTCGACGTTTGCGGTGGCAACCTCACGGATATCTCGTCCGACATTTGGGAGGCAGCGGTGGATATGTTTTCCACGGTGCTGGTCAAGGAAGAGCCGGCACCAGTCAAGGCTCTGGCGAGTGCACCAGCTGGTGTGTTTTTCTGTCTACTTCCTCCCCTTTTTACTCGTCTCTGTCTAATTCTTCTATAGCTCCGCCGGCGCTCGCGAGGGCTACACAGGCTGCTTCGAGCGGTACGTCCAGCCAAAGATTTCCATTCAATTATCTGTTCGAAATTTGTCCATATAGAAGGCGAGAAGAACAAACATCGGGTTACTGTCAACTCGGAAACCGGCGAGGCACTCACATTTCTTGTCAAGCCAACGACGCCATTAGGCAAGGTTTTCTCCACCGCTGTTCATGATCGCCCTCTCCTGCCACGACGACTACCGATTTACCAACGATGATACGTGGTTACGGGTCGGTCGAGACGATACCCCCGCCTCGTTGGACTATGCACCCGGGGAGGAATTATCCTTCTCCGTGTTCCGTGCCCAGCGTGGTGGGAAACCCGTCATTTATCTCTTCTCCCCCGACATCATCGATGCCTCCGTGTCGCTTACTCTGACTCGGGAATGGGAACTCTCCGTCGTCTATCCCGTTGTTCCAGCGAAACCGGCCGTCGGGGGTGGCGAAACGATCCAATGGAGCGTGCATACTCATCCAGATGGTAGCCTCACCGAGCGGAGCACGGGTCTTGATGTGGCGTATCTTTTCTGGGAAGCACTGTGAGTATTCCTCTCTCGTGCTTTACCTCTGCTTTCATCTCACCATTCGGCATTAGTACCAACCGTGGTATTCCGATATCACCTCCCGGATCACCAGTTCTCGGACAACCACTCGGAGAGGCCTTTTCCCCCATCACCTGTGATCTGTCACCAGCGAACTCCGTTCTCCTCACCGTCTCCAACATGACGCCTTATCTTGACCAGGCTCTTCAGGCGCTCGGCTTGCATACAGAGGCGCGCACATCGTTCATAACGTGCGCCTTTATCATACATATCTCGTCCCCTACTAAGTAACAGCTACCAATAGTTACTGGCTCCCGTCTTTCCTCAAGCACACCCATATTGCTCTGCGTTTCGTGCCGCAAGCCGCGTACGAGGCCGTCGCGCGACTTGACATCACACCTGCGCCGGACGTCGTTACGCGCGTCTTTATGGTATTCAAGGGCGTGGCGGAAGAGAATCTCGGAGAGTGGTACTCCAGTCTCAGCACGGAGGATCCTAAGCAGTGGAAGGAAGTCGTGGACGTTGATGTTGAGCGCGCCCTCGATGCCACGCTTTTCCGAGTCCTTGAGTGGGGTGGGATGGAGGTGTTGAGGCGGTGATTTCTTTACCGTTCTTTTTTACTCCAGATGACTTCGTGTTCCTTTCTATACCCTTTCTCAACTTTTAATTATTTGTTCTGATCAATTCAACCCGTGTTGGAGAAAGCGTAGCTTGGCTGCCTGTGTAGCTTGCCGGTGCATTGCCGCCGAAAAGTCGAAGTCATGAATGCCGGCGACTTTCCCGAGTTGCGAGCAAAGTCCTATCTGTTCTTTTCTATTTCCCAACCTGCGTTGTTACAACCGAGTCTGTCCGAGTAGTATCAGTTCAGATCAATCCAAAGGTCGAACACTGCCATTCAATCAACGCGCGGCTGCGAGGCGTTGAATTACTGGGGCTGATGCGGATCGCCGTTCAACGGTTGAACTTGCTATCAAAAGGAAACAAATGAAGAAAAAGACGGAAGCAAAGGTAGGGAAAGTCCTCAGCGGGACTTATGGAGAGAGAACACACAGACGAGAGGCCTTGAATCGGGGCTGAGAAGGATGAGCCAGCCAGTCAACCATGAAGGCGGTTGTTATTAGGGAAGAGAAAAGGAGACAACGTCCAGAATGCAAAATAATTGACCCCTGCCCGGATTGAACGGACGGCCTTCGCGAAACTGAAGCACAGCTGGAATGCGACGCTCTACCGCTGAGCTAAGGGGTCGCTGACTTTGGGCTCCCCGCTGGAGAGTAGACTCCGCGAGCCTCAGCCACCCAAAAGTGCTTCCATACACCCCAGAACCAGCCCAAAAACCCTCTTTTCTTTTTTTCCTTCTGAATCCTCAGTGCGATTTCGATTGCCTGCCACGCGTCGGCAACCACAACGCGAACCGTACCAGACTGTACCTGTATTCGTATGTCGCTTACCGGCATCTACGGAAAAAAATCCGTTGCTTTAGTAAGACATTCCGGAATTGCCGGAAGTGTGCGACTTTCCCAATGCGATTCACTCGGTTGGAAGACTGAGTGTAAAAACTCCGAACGAATGAGGTGTCGCAATTATCGGACCCGAATCAAGCTCAAATAGCATTTGGCAGATGCACACCCGTCCGAATGAGAGCATTGAGTCCGCTGGGATCAATTCTCCAGAGACGTCTCTGGAGACGAAACTGATGCAAACCGTAGAATTGATGGTAGAATTGATCAAAACGGGAGACAGTGATGGGAGACAAGACAGAGGTTGTAGGCAAGCAAGTGTATACACACTCCTGAGCCAGTTCGTTATGCCACACGCCCATCGACTGCACCTCCGGGGATGTCCAGACTTTTAATGCCGACGGTATTTCGAGCGCTTTACGGTCTCGCTTCCTCGAGGGTTCCCACAAAACTACATAGTTGAACAACTGTTGAACAACTGTTGAATATTCATACCCACGTTCAAATGAGGTGAGTTCTACCACCGGCACCCTTCAAGGGCTGGTAAATTCTCCACCCAGATTTCTTTCCAAAGTACATAGTAAATACTCTGCTCCCAAAGTAGTGCATACTCTGCTCTCAGACCTTACTAACTAAAGTTAGATACTGTTGTATCTCACTAGAGGGCTCTAAAAGAATTCAAACTTTCGGGATGTCTGTACACAGGAAACCTAATTGTACTGTATAAATGGTGTCTTTTTCAGTAGCAGCTATTTTTTTGATCTCCTGTGGACTCATGCACACATCTGTTTCAATTTACATGCCAGCAATCAAAGCACAAGGCACGATGGCCAGTTAACCAAGGAGGAGTCACCACTCGGGGCGCAAGCCAAAGTTGGGCTTGTTTTTCTACAGAGTGGTTCAGTTCTGCTTTAGGCCCAGTGGTTCATAAAACTGAGGATGGCAGCGAGCAGTGCCGAATGCCGAGCATTGATCAGTGGTCTCGCTACTTGTCTCCAGAGAATTTGATGGACGGACAATCCATCATTTGTCTCCAGAGACGTCTCTGTAGATGTATCTCCCAGCGGATTCAAACTCCTGGTCCGAATGAATTGCATGGAGTGGGCGCCAAAATGCAATTGAAATCCAGGTCGGAGTTGGGTGCTCACGGGCATTTTTCGGTCCCACCTGTTTAAACTCGGTAAGTTCTGGGCTTCTTAGGGTACTTGTTAAAACGGCTGAGGTGACAATGGAATTGGCTGCTCTCCCTCAGAACAGTTGAGCTCACCGATAGCTGATTGTATCGGGATTGGCGTGATGCCGTCGGTGGCTGCGCCCGCATCAGCCCGTCCCCAAAAATCAGCTCGTCTCAGTCTGATCACCGGCGCTTATTCTGTACCGACCCGACTCGGCCTAATATCCAAAACGAGCCGGCGACCTGGGCGCCAAGCCACGGCGAAGCGCATGGGCGAATCAGATGTATCAGATGCATCCGATCGGTCATCAGATGTCGCCGATTGGCTTCCCCCCTTGATCGAGCCTTCCACAATTCCATTTTGCTCAAAATTTGGATTTTTCGAGCTTCTTCGGTGTGGCTACCGTCATAAGTATACCTCGGGTGAACTGGTTCTCCTGACGGGCAATTTTTATCCGCCCTAGAGGGGGAAGTATAGTATTTTACCCATGATCACAGCGGTGCTTGCCGGAATGCCGGGAATGGGTGCGTTGATTCGTTTGGCCTGAGCACCGGATAGATTTAGTTTTGCGGGCAACACAGCATGTGGATGAACTTCCTTCGGGCTCGGGCGGTATCGAGAACACCGGCGGGTTTAAGAGAGTGTTTGTGCTCAGTCGTGCTCCGCGATACGCCGCAGCTTCAGAAGCTAAGGTGGTACATACATGATGTATGTACCACCCCTGTGAATGCAACCCCGTCTCTTCAATTTTACTTCAAACTTTCTTGTCGGAGGCCATAAATTTACCGTGCTTTCAATGTAGAATCCTAAGGTTTAAACTGAATTTTTCCTTTGGTTTGCGCAACGCAGTCTTTGACGTCGTCTGGTTCCCGGACTTATTATTCGTTTGATCGCTGTGGTCAAACTGTGGTTCCCCATTAATGCCCGGACATAATTTTACTTCACCTCGGGCTACAGACTTTACATTTCCCTGGTTCTCATTCTTTCTGCCCAGGTGCCACTTCTTCCAGTGTAAATCTCTGCAAACGCTCAGAATAATGTTGGTGGGTTGAAAACAGAATACTTTCTTTCATGGCCACATACTTAGTATCGGATTGAACAACCGAACAGGAGGAGGTAGCTGCTTGCCATCCTGCGCCTTAATCCAATATTTAGAGTATAATTGGGGTTTATGGTCATCCGGCGGCCTACCGGTAACGAAAATTGCTGTGGCGCAATATTAAATGCTTGTTCCCCGGGGCGCGAGAAGGGATGAATACAATTAGACCCTCGCGGGACGGCGTGAATATTAGGTATGGATCAGGCCGTCTCCCGAAGGCGCGCTAACCTGAAATGTCCTTTTCCCATCCTTTCTCCATTCTTGTTTCGATGGCACAGAAATGGCCCAGGTCTTTTCTTTCGAGCGTAAATATCTGGCGGTTACTTGCATCATTGCTGGGAAGGTTGATAGCATGATGACCGGACGCACAGCTGGGTATCATTTGGGTTATGCTGTCGAGTCGAGCCACTGTACAGACTGCACCCTACATATGACACCGCAGTTGAACTGAAAATGGCCTTGGTGCGGCCGGGGCCACTGGCAGGCAATCTTCCGCATCAGATGACCCCATCTGATACATCGCACCGACCGCGAGGTGGCTTGGTCCGACTCTTTGGCGTGGAGCACAAGGAAAGGCGGCAAAAACCACATGTAGCCCGGTTTCAATAGAGCAAACCTAGAGGCGCGTGTGCGAGCCCACGGAAGCGTTCGGCGGCTCCGCAACCACGCGTACCGCTAGAAATTGCCTGAGCCGTATTCATGGCGCTGGCAATACAGTATCAAGGTATGGGTAGGTATGGGTGCGGCTGTGAGGCTTATGGGTCTATGTTCATTTACGGAACCGAATTCCGCTCTACATCGCCCCCGTCGCCGTCGGCGTTGGATGTGGCGCGACGAAAGGATAATCGGACGTTTCCAAAATGTCAACCTTCAAGCATCGCCTGCAGTACCGACAAGCGTTTAGTAATTTCAAGCGCCAGGTTCACTCAGATTTTATTAGAGGCCTTGCACAAATGCGATTGGAGCCACCTCGTGGCTTTTCGGCAGTGCCCAAATGGCTCCAGCGCCAGATTATTTCGGCGGTGCGCAAAAATGGCAGGTGAACGGCTCCACGGAGCCATAAGAAGCATGCGAGACTGCCTGGTGCAACAGAACTGAGTCGAAGTGGGCGAAACTGGGAAAGCAGCAAGAGGCAAGATCAACAGCACTCCCTTTTCTTTCCTATGTGGTAATTGACGCGGCCACATCGCAACCAAGCTACCCATTTCATTGTCGAAAAAATATCCCGGATGCCCAAGTTCAAATAAGATTTTGATTGAAGGCATGAAGCAGATACTATCCCGCTGACGCGACTGCCGAACAGTATGAAGCGAGCATCTCTCTGTGGGAGCTCCAGTTTTCACACAAATATTATTAAAGTAAATAGGCTAAGATCTATCCGATGTCCAAACTATGGGAGTTATGCGTCCGAGTAGCGTTTCCCTTCATGGCCATGTAGCGGCTTTCCCTCGTCTTCAGCGAAGTGTACCGGCGCATACACCCGATTCATAGTCTTCCCACCACGTTTAACACATAACGCGGTTCCCATTGCGACGAGGATCAGCAGAAGAAGAAGATTACCACTGAGCATCCCGACAATAATCGGACCGTATTTGGCGGCGTTGGTATCTGAATCACTGAGTACACTGTCGGCCTCCGCCGCAAGGTCAGAGGAACCCAGGGCCTGGGAGTTGAAAGAAAGCCGTGAATCAGGATCACCGGATGCCGTGGGCATGCTGTCGGCCGCCATGTTCAACTTGGAGGCGCCTGGTGCCGGTGGGTCCGACGACCCTTGAGATAGATGTGACATGCGGAAGTGCAAGACATCCGCTGCCGCCGTCGTTGCGTTTGTTTGAGACAGCAATTGCATCGTCGCATTTCCAGTTGGTGAACCCGCGACGGAGTTCCCAAAATTGTACCTTGGATTTAAAAGGCACGTCAGTGGAGACTATGTAGAGGTACAAAGCTTCTCACACCGTGTACATATTCCGCAGGAAGACGTCGCCGAAAATACCATCATAGACCCTATTTCCGGGCGCTGAGTTCATTGGTGCCACACAGACTGTGATGTTGGTGTCGGGATCTGTCGCCATCTCCGATATATCCAGGGGATGGATTGGGAACGGCTGTCCGCTGAATAGAGATTTCAGCAAGACAACGAGAGCCAATAAACGGAATACACGCGTACCCAATTTGAACCGTCACGATGCTCGTTGTATTACAGGGAATAATGATTGAGTCATCCCCCGATGTGGAGAAATTCACCCCAGGAATTGCCGAGTAGAGTAGATGAAGGATCTGTGCAGGGAGCTGAGCTCCAGGTGTCCCTGAATCCATAAGAACCACAATTTTGCCAGAAGGAGAAGTGGCCACAGTTGATTTGGGGAGCGCGATGTCGACACCGTCAACGGCGATACCGTCAATGGGGATACTCCAAGTAAGATTGTGGTTCCCAGGGACGGCTTGAACCACGGGAATCTTGGGAGCATACCAAATTCCCGAGTAGGCGTCATCGATCTCGTTGATGGTGAACGA